CTGCACAACAAGATAAAAGAGATAAAAGATTCACAAAAACAACTCATCTTTAGTCACCTCGGTGAATACATGTACAGAAACTAGTCCAACATAGTAACTGATACTCCTCATTAAAACTGAGACGTATTTTTAAGTCATGTCAGAGAAAGATAACCTTTTGAGTGTGTTTTCATACATTTTCTTGTAAGTAAACGTCAATTTTTGTGCAAAAATTCCTCAATTTTATGACTGGTCGTCTGAAGGTCACTCGTGCGTTTGCATCCCTTGGGACGCTATTGTTGAACCGGCACCTTGGTCAGCATCGTCGAGAAACTGAATTTTTCGGGGTATACACACTTCAGGGCAGACAAAAACTTGATAGCCTACTGTCATTGACTCTAAATGTTTTAGACTTTTTGTTGACGTGATCTGGTTCTATTTTTTGTGTCTATACAGACCACTTCGTCTATAATGCCATCTTTATACATTTTGGTCGGTGTCAGAAGGTTATATTGAATCATTATACGTGATTCAAGAAAGCCATTTCCCATTAGTTAGACAAACCAATGAAAAGCTTATATAGTCTAAATGTCAGATATTTCGGCTTGTGTATGACTGAGAAAGCCCGACCGAAAGCTGCTACCTTGATGTGGTGGTCGGGCTTGAACACCGCAATGACCCAACAAGCTACACTGGCTGGAACTTATGTTCCTGTAGGTCCTACCATGGCAGAAAGGTTGTTTGGATAGCGGTTAGACAAAAAGCAGTTACCCAACCCAATCCTATGACTCAAAATAAATCACAAAATATCATGCCGGATCGGTCGGGGCCCGGATTAACAACGACCTCACTTCCTACTGCCGTGTTACAGGGCAGAAGTGATAAATGTGCTACTGAGACACACCAAATGAAAAACAACAAACAAAAACAGACCGTGTGTGACCGGCCTCAAGCAGTTGTCCCCTGGGCTCTGCGGTCACGCAACCAACTTCCACGGTGTGGGCAGCCGGGAAGTAACAATCGCCCTCACAATCCGAAGTGCACGCGAAACCTCTCTAATCCTCACTCACCTTTGTCTTCATCTTCATCTCTATTATCTTGCCTTCCTTCTACTAATGCAACTCCTCAACTTAATGGCTCTTCACTTCCTCTTCACTCTGTGTGCACTGAAAACGACAGAAGCCAAAAAACCACCATCGATAGTCTCCTAAAGCCACGCCACCAATTTCATGTAGGGGCATTTAGTGTTAGGACACTTTGCCAAATAGGACAACAAGCATCACTAGCCAAGACTCTGGCATCCCGAGCCATTGATGTATGTTGTGTTTCAGAAACACGCATACAAGACCCAAGTGTGGTTATTCACCTAACCCCACCTGGCCAACAGGATGAATCTGCAAAATTCACCTTGAGGGTGTCAGGCGATGCCACAGCTAGCTCACGAGGATTAGCTAGTGTTGGGATAGCTTTGAGTACTAGGGCAGAAAAGACATTACTTGACTGGATCCCGGTAGATAGCCGAATGTGTGCTGTCCGTCTGAACGGATCAGTGAAAAGGAGAAAGGACTGCACTACCCGCCGATGCCTTTTCGTAATCTCCGCCTACGCCCCCACTGACTACAGTTCGGATGAAACGAAGGATGAGTTCTACCAAAAGCTGTCTAGTTTGCTGCGAAAGGCTAAACGCTCAGATATAGTCGTTTTAGCTGGTGACTTTAATGCCCAAGTAGGGAAATTGTGTCAATCTGAGAAGAATGTCGGTGGCACATACGGAATTCCGTGCCAGCGAACCGACAACGGTGACCGTCTCCTACAGTTCTGTTCAGATAGTCATTTGTTTCTTGTAAGCACTAACTTCAAACACAAAGAGAGACACTGTTTGACCTGGCGACCCCCATTATCAAACCAACGCTGGACACAAATAGACCACATAACATAGTCTCTAAAATCCTAGGCTCAGTAATCATGAACAGACTAAGCCGAACTCGGAAGGAACAAACGAGGGAAAATCAAGCGGGCTTTAGGCCAGGTAGAGGGTGCATAGATCATATCTTCACTCTCCGACAGATCCTAGAACATAGGCACACTTTTAGGCGTCCAACAATTGCCATATTTCTTGACTTGAAGGCGGCCTTCGACTCCTTGGATCGAGAGGTTCTATGGCAATGTTTGACTATGAAGGGAGTGCCAAGAAAGTACATTGCACTAATCAAGGCACTCTACTCAAACTCACGTAGCTGTGTAAGGGCTTATGGGGAATTGTCATCTGAATTGATAACAACCAGTGGTGTCCGTCAGGGATGTCCACTTTCCCCTTTTCTGTTTAACTTCATCATAGATATGCTAATGGAAGTATCCCTAACTGGACTTAACGACTTAGGAATCGACTTGTTACCAGGGAATAGTCTTATAGACTTAGAATACGCAGACGACATAGTCCTGTTAGGGGAGGACGCTGACAAAATGCAGAGTCTTCTGAACACCTTGAGCAGCAATCTTCGTATGTTTGGCATGCGATTCGCCCCTGTGAAATGTAAGATGCTGCTACAGGACTGGACTACGTCAACTCCTAGCTTAGTGATAGGGAGTGAGGTGATAGAACATGTTGACCACTTCACCTATTTGGGAAGTTGTATCAGCACCAGTGGATTGATTGGTGACGAAATCTCAGCACGGATCCAAAAAGCTCGGGCTGCTTTCGCTAACTTACACCATCTCTGGCGTAGGCGTGACATCCGGCTATCAACCAAGGGACGTGTATACTGCTCATCAGTTCGCTCCGTCCTTCTCTATGGCGGTGAGACGTGGCCATTGAGAGCGGAAGACATGAAGAGATTGTGTGTTTTTGACCACAGATGTTTACGATCTCTTTCTCACGTCTGGTGGTATAATAAGGTAATTAATGTTAACGTTAGGCATAGAGTGTTGGGCAAAGGGGGAAAATCAATCGAAGAGGCTGTAAAGTTTCATTGATTGAGATGGCTAGGTCACGTGCTGCGCATGCCTAACCATCGTCTCTCCCGACGGGCATTACTAGCTGATATAGGTGCAGGTTGGAAAAGAGTAAGTGGTGGCCAAACAAAAACATGGCATCAATCCATGAAATCCCTGACAGTTAAACTGAGTCAGGTAGGGAGATGCAAACTTCTGGGTTGGGGCCCTCGGGACTCTAAGAATCAATGGCTGGAGACAATAGGTGACATGGCTCAAAATCGTTGTCAATGGCGCAGATGTATTCAGTCTCTGTAATCTTTCATATTCCTTTCTACCATTAATCATTGTGTTTCACTCTTATACTTGTCAAAACTCTATTGATTCTCTTCACTCATTTTCTTGTCTACGTTTGTGGGCTATTTGGAACGTGGCAACTCGAACTTCTGGACTTCGGTGCCAAGTTCTATGTTGAATCCAGCCAGCCATGACTGAGAAAGGGTTTGAGCAACTATATTTATGTAAATGTAGCATTCTGGAATGTAGTCCTTTGATATACTCGTTTGTGTAAAGTCGAGTTTGTATTGTAAGGTTATTTTACCGAGACTGTTTCCTTGATTGAACGTTGTGAACATTTTTTGAATACCTTCCGGGATTTTATCTTCATTTTTGCACATGGGTTGGGTTAACCAGTTCAGCATGTCATATTTGGTTGATGCGTCAATGCTTTATTACCTTTATTACCTTAAAAGTCATGTAAAATGTTGTCTCACTAAAAACTAGTGTTGAATATGCAGATATTCAACTTTGCATGTTGATAGTCATGGTGTCCCACATAAAGGGCTTGAATCGTGTAGGACTGTGTAAGTTGGAATCGCTACATTATTCCTAGAGAATAATGGAAGGTCAAGAATTGAATGAAACCTGTTCAAATCAGTAAACGTTCCTTAATAATTTCTTTATTGGATATATCACACAGCGAAGCATTTTCTACGAGGGATATTGTAACAATAATAATAATACTGTTTCGCTGTACCATAAATCCAATATACAAATTAATATGGGATTATGTGCTACCATACTACCAAAGTTTTACACATAATGACCAGGAAAAGATCGTTGTTAAAATGGTAGTAATTAAGTTTTCTCGATTCACATTAAGATAAAAGTTTAGACAAACGCGTGATATTTGGTATAGCTACTCAAACATTCTTATCTCACAAATTTTGTCATACCCCTCACTTTGTTACAAAGACCTAAGTAGCAGTTAATGTATGGGTTATTCAGTATGGCATTTTAATCTAAATACCCTGGGTTTTAAAACAACTAGTCCCTTTAATGAACTTAAATAGTGTTATTAGAAGACGGAGATTATCTGAAAATGTGATATATTTGCTCATTACATTTCGAACAATCTGATCGCACATTTACTTGTAAATTCAATTTATATGGCAAATAAAGGTCTATTAAAATACACGAAGTGACATAAAGGATTTGAGAATAATAAGAATAATTAACTCTACGTTTGGTTATCTAATTAGGTAAGGATTACTAAGGGTAGGTTAAGGGTAATAACAAATTGTTTTTGTAAACACAGGCAGGGCTTAAGTTTACGAATAGATATCGCATCAGTGTATTTCAATAAACGCCCCTCACCGCTTTTAAAGTAACTTTAAAAGCTGTTTTTATATCAATCTTCTGGTTCATATCTGGTAGTCTACCACCTTCGTCTATCGATTTTCCAAAGTTCATCTATTGAACTTTCAGTTCACGAGGAGGCACTATCACTTGGTTCCACTTTTTCTGTCTCATTAAACAACATTTTAGACGTAGCAGTTGATTCCCAGTTTGGAAATCTGTATGACTAATAGACTCCTCTAGTTCCTACCTTGACAGATGACCAAAGTTAGTTGAAAGCTGAATTTTTAGATGCAGCACATCAATTCCGTAATTCAAATCGGAAACAGAAAAGCATTTTGAACTCGACCCATTTCAAAGCCTTAAGGGAATTATATAACGGATCTGATATAGTTATCCTAAAACCTGAAAAAATATAAGGTGTAGTTCTAATAGACATCTGTGATTATAAAATGAAAATGTTATGCATTCTTAACTATAAAAGTGAATTCATAGTGGATGTTCCTTGTGATGATATCAAAAAATTGGAAGGAAATGTAACTTCCCATTTAGTTAAACATCGTGGCATTGATGTCATTCACGAACAAGATTTTAATTTATTAAAACTCATGGGATCTGACTTACCAAACTTTCATGGATTACCCAGGATTCATAAGGTTGACAATCCATTACATCGAATTCTATCAATGTGTCACTCTCTTACACATAAATTGGCAAAGTGGTTAGCTGATATTTTAAGCCCAGTAGGCGATAAATTATGTAATTCCTCTTTGAAAAATACATTTGAACTTATTGATTGTCTTGTCAACGTGAATATAAAAGATATGAAAATGTATTCTTTTGATGGTAATTCCTTGTTTACTAATGTACCATTGATTAAGACTGTTGGTATTTTTTGTGACTATATATCTTCTGGTTGTTTTTCACTCCCTTTTCCTTTAACTTATTTGAAAGGTATATTACTATGATTTACTGACAACTCCCATTCCAAGTTTGGAGGTGGGCACTTTTGACAGATGGATGGCGTTGCTATGGGTAGTCCATTAGGACCTTTGTTGGCGGCTGTTTATATATCTTATATTGAAAACTCGTCTTACAGATTTCCAAACTGGGAATCAACTGCTACGTCTAAAATGTTGTTTAATGAGACAGAAAAAGTGGAACCAAGTGATAGTGCCTCCTCATGAACTGAAAGTTCAATAGATGAAATTTGGAAAATCGATAGACGAAGGTGGTAGACTACCAGCTTCATCTAGCATCACGCGGGAGGAGCGAGAGTAACCTAAAATTTCATATGTGAAGACTCCGTATTGATCTAACGTGGTTATAATAGATGCTGCATGAAGATGTAGTTCATTAACTGAATTATTTGACTCTTGGTCAATGGGGCCGAAGTTACAATGCTACTGCGTAACTTTCAGCCTGTGAAACTAGGTAGTCTTTACAATACAGGTGTGACACACAGCTTGATACATGATAGCGGAACTAGTTTCTGAGGTCGACAGCAGGACTTCCCCTGAGGTAGCCTGGCACAACATACAGTTAGCTGTGGACACAGCCGTGAAAGCTGTCAATAAGCTAAAACCTAAAGTTAATAAAAGCCACTGGATCTCTCCCGCCTCATCCGAACTGATTGACGCAAGAAGACTGATTCTAGCGAGCTCCGATTAAGATGAGGAGCGAGAGGTACTTAAACGAAGACTAACAAAAAGTCTTCGCAAGGACCGTGAACAGTAGTGGGCGACAAAAGCGAAAGAAATGGAAAAGGCATCGGCGATTGGCAACACCAGACAACTATTCAGGCTTATCAGGGAAACAGATGGCAAAAGGCAAATGATAAGCGAAACAATCTCGGAGGAAAATGGCACCATAATTAGCTCCCAGGATAAACGACTGGAACGCTGGAAAGAACACTATGAGGAGCAGTTTAATTGGCCTACAGCCGCACTTAACCTGCCGAACATCCAACACCTCCCTGAATGGTATATAGACACAAGTCCCCCGTCCTTAACTGAGGTTACTAAAGCTGTCACTAATCTGAAGTAAGGCAAAGCAGCGGGACCTGATGGAATGACTCCAGAGGTATTTAAGTACGGTGGAGACAGTTTACTGTCTGCATTAACTGAGGTTCTAGGCAGCGTCTGGGAATCAGAGGAAGTCCCATCGGGTTGGTATAAGTCACTCATCATCCCGATATACAAGAAGGGAGACAAGTTTTCTTGTGATAATCACAGGGGGATTAGCTTGACTAATATAGTATCTAAAATCCTAGGGTCAATAATACTGCGTAGACTAAGTGGTGCTCGGGAGGCACAAACACGAGAAAACCAGGCAGGTTTTAGGCCAGGAAGAGGGTGTATTGATCATATCTTCACCCTTCGACAGGTTCTAGAACATAGGCATTCCTACCGGCGTCCGACAATCATTATATTTCTTGACCTAAAGGCGGCATTCGATTCTGTCGACCGAGAGGTTCTCTTGCGATGCTTGGCTGTAAAGGGAATGCCGAGAAAATACATTGCACTGATCAAGGCACTCAACTCGTACTCATGCAGCCAGGTGAGGGCCAGTTGTCATCTGAAGTGGTGACGACTAGTGGCGTCCGTCAAGGATGCCCATTATCTCCATTCCTATTCAACTTCATCATAGACGTACTAATGGACTTAACCCTAACACACTTCAGCGACTCAGGGATTGACTTGCTACCAGGGAATAATCTCGTCGACTTAGAATATGCGGACGATATAGTCCTTCTAGGCGAGGACGCTGACAAAATGCAGAGTCTACTGAACACCTTGAGCAACAATCTTCGTATGTTTGGCATGCGATTCGCCCCTGTAAAATGTAAGATGATGCTGCAGGAACAGACTTCACCGACCCCTAGATTGGAAATAGGAAGTGAAGTGGTAGAGCACGTTGACCGCTTCACTTACTTGGGAAGTACCATCAGCCCCAACGGGTTGATCTCCGACGAAATCTCAGCACGAATACAGAGGGCTTGATTCGCATATGCCAGTTTACGCCGTCCCTGGCGTAGACGCGATATCCGACTATCGGCCAAAGGGCGTGTGTACTGCTCAACAGTCCGCTCCATCGTCCTTCATGGCTGTGAGACCTGGCCATTGAGAGCAGAAGACATGAAAAGATTAGCTGTCTTTGATCATAGGTGTCTGCGTTCTATCTCCCGCGTGAAGTGGTATAATAAGGTGAGCAATATTGAGGTTAGGCGTCGAGTGTTAGTTAAGGCGGGGAAATCAATAGGCGAGACTGTGAAATTAAATCGACTGAGATGGTTAGGACATGTGCTACGTATGCCTAGTCATCGTCTTCCTCGACGGTCAATGTTAGCTGATATAGGGCCAGGCTGGAAAAGAGCTAGTGGCGGTCAAATGAAAACATGGCACCAGTCAATGGAATTCACAACAGTTAGTCTAAGTCACGTAGGAAGATGTAGACTTCCTGGTTGGGGTCCTCGGGACGGTAAAAACCAATGGTTGGAAACAATTGGTGACATAGCTCAAAATCGTTCTCAGTGACGCAGATGCATCCACTCCTTGTGACTTATGATTTCCAATGAAACTGTTTTGTTCTTCGTTATTACTATTCCTTTGTCTCACACCTCTGTTTACTGTCTATATTATGCATTTCTCCTACTTTCTTCTCTTGCTTTGTGTGCTACAAGGAGGGAGTGTGGCGACTTGAACTGCCTCACATATGTGCAAAGTTCTATGTCGAAAACCGACCGACTTGATACATGAAAAATAGGTTTCGGATAACTCAATCCTAACTAATTCTATGCTGAGTTTTATTAATATATATGTCAGGCGATTGAAGGAGTATTCATTAAAACCGTTCTATATTAACCGTATAACATTTTAGTTTAGGGATGTTTGACAGTAGTGATTTAACATTTAGATTGGATAGTTCTTACACTCAGGCTCACTAACTGTCATGTATTAGTCTCCGACCTTTCCACTACTGTGTTGGTCATAATTAAAAAAGAAAACTTGTTAAATGCTCATCCAAAATCACTTACACGTTATTGGATTATGAAATGGGAGTAAAGAATAAAGTGCAAAATATATTATGTACACTCTTCATCTGTCCTTAAGTTTGTATGGACTGAAATTCAAATATATTTAATTCTATGTAATGATTTAAATACATAACCCGTAAAGGAGAATAATGCTCAGAAAGGCTTCTTGTGCTTTCGGAAGTGTGTGGGCAGTTTTTACTTCCCCTCTGTCCATACTGTAGAAGTTGATTGACTCTTTGGGTACCTGAAACAGAAATAGGGTTAGTGTTGCGTGACCGCAGAGTCCGGTCGCATACGGCCTGTATGAACTGGTTTGGGATTGGTTCTGTATTAGTAAACTTACCTCCGGTTACGGATCACCGTAGTGTAAGTCGTATGCCTAGCTATCGCCTTCCTTGACGGGCAATGTTAGCTGATTGACATTGGATCAGGTTGTAAGAGTCAGTAGTGGTCAAACTAAAACATGACTTCATCAGTCAATGGAATCCACAACGGTTAGTCTAAGCCATATAGGAAGATGTAGATTCCCCGGTTGGGGTCCTCGGGATCGTAAAACCAATGACTGGAGACAATTGGTGATATGGATCAAAATCGTTCTCAATGTTTGGCACAGATGCGTCCACTTCTTGTGATTTATAGTATCCAATAAAATTATATTGTTTTTCCTTATTACTATACTTTTTGCCTCATATTTCTGTTTATCATCTCTCTTACTCTCTTCTCTTGCTTTATGTACTACATGAAGGGATAGTGGCAACTGAAACTGCTGCACACCTGTGCAAAGTTCTACGTTGAAACCAGTCAGTCAGTCAGACTATTTTTTATAGTGATAGATGACTATAAGGAACTTGTTTATTGGTCAAACATTAAAGAGTGAAAGTTGTTTGTTTCTACTTCTTACTAATCATAATTTTAATCACCACTAAGTTCTAGTTTAACCACAGCAAGAGTGTAGCTTGGTGATATATCACAAATCATTATAGTAGCACGCTAACAATCTTTCTCGTTGAATCATTAGTACTCTTCAGTTATAAACTTGAATGTGTGTCGGTGGCACAGTGGTTAGGACTCTCGCCGACCATGCACATGGTCCGGGGTTCGATCTCCTGCCGGCGCACACCCGATATCTATGGTCGGCCTGTAAATTTGGGCTACCGATATCCATGCTGAAAATTCCATACTTGTACTGAAAATACGGTGTGGAATCAAGCTGTAATCAAAATAAATAAAATAATTCAGTATTTCTTGGTTTTCAGGGATCCTATAATTGGTGTTATTCCTTGAAGTCGGCAAAAATCTCATCATCCGAAAGCTCACCAAGTAGTTAACTTTCGGTTTTTTCATTGGAATCCTCAAGATATTGTCGACCAGCGGTTAATTACTCTTGACAAATTAGGGCATAAACCCAACTGTTAAGTTTTCAACTGTTGGTTTATGCCACAGCGAGGTATATACTTCCTGACTAGAGTCCTCGAGATGCTTAGAATCGATAGTCAGAGATTGTTGGTGACATGTCTCAAAATCACTTACAATGTTATTATCGTCAGGATTTTGAAAATCCCCACTAGTTTTCTTCTAGTTCCCCATCCGGACATTTTTATTATATTCTCATAGCATATTTTTCTTCTGATTTTATGTTATTTTCTGAAGTGGTAATTGAAACTACTGCAGTTTTGAGCAGGGTTCTAAGTTGATAAGTTAGTATGTCAGTCAACTACGTTGGCACATGTGTATTCACTCTTTATCATAAGAATTTCAGATATTTACACCAACTATGAAGCAATTTCCCCTTCAGCATTCAAAGTTATATTCTCGTTATAATGCGATTTTATATCTGCTTACTGCCTTTATTTGTGTTGTTTTAAGGTGTAATAATCTGAATTTATTCTCTTCTCATCTGAAATTCTTGATTATTATGTCATTTTACATAAAAATGTCCCCAAGTTCTTTTTTTCGAATTCTAGGTTTTCGAATAAACACTCATGTGGTGTTTTTCTTGACTAAACACAGGATTATCAATCAATCTAGTCGCGTCATTATTATTATCATTATTATTTCTGTTAGCAATTGAAAATTCTTCCACACTTTAGAATACACCGACATGTTTAGTCGTGTTCCGTTAACTGATGATTTTAATCATTTGGCATTATGTGCTAGAGCAAGTTTATCTCATCAAGCTGAAAAGAAAATTCATTCAATATTAAATTGTGGACAATTATCATTTAGAAGTAATTTATGCAATTCTAAAGATGAAATTATGCATATTCAACAAATTGTTACAGCTAATAATCATATTAATAATAATAATAATAACAATGCACTAACTATTTTACCCACTAACAATAATAATGATAACATTACTAACACTAATACTACTACCAATAACAATATTAGTAATAACAATAATATCCAATCAAATCAATGTGTAACTGTTAATCATCACTCATCTAATTGTAGTGAACGCGTTAAACGTCATCATTGTACAGATTGTTCGAAATCATTTTATCGTGCCAGTGACCTAGTGAAACATCGTCGTACGCATACAGGTGAAAAACCATTCGCATGTTTACAATGCGGTCGTGCATTTGCAGATTCTAGTAGTCTCTCCGCGCATAAACGAATACATACTGGTGAACGACCGTATCATTGTTGTGAATGTGGTAAAAATTTCTCCGTATCAAGTAGTTTAGTAAAGCATAGACGTATACATACTGGAGAACGACCATATAGATGTGAATTCTGCGGTAGAGCATTTTCAGATAATAGTAGTTATAGTGCACATAAAAAGCGTAGTCAACGTTGTACACCTATAGTGATGAATACGCCTAATCTTCTTGGTAATAATATTAATAGCAATGTTGGAGATTGTGAGAAAAACAAATGTGAAGGTTGTGCTTTCCTCGATGCACACACACAAGCAGTTATACATCCTGCAGGAGCTGCTGCAAAAGCTGCGGCCGCAGCCGCTGCCAACGCTGCTGCCTCTGTATCTGTTGAACACTTTTTAAATAATCCAAATACCGTTGTTATGTCTAAAATAGATGGAAGTAATGGCTTCTGTCCGAATTCATTGAATTTAGCATTTCCTAGTCCACAAAATACGAATAATATTCAAGCTACTGCTTTAACGTGAATGTTAGCGAGAAGAAGAAAAGATATTATCACTATTCTACAAAACTACGTATAAATATATAATATCTATGTGTAGAAGCGGTTTTCTTCATTTTTTTCAACGTGTTGCGGAGGTGGGAGAGCTTACTCTCTATTTTATACTTAGAAATATTGAAATCATTTGAAACTTTTAAACAGGCTTGAATTTGCTGTGACAATAGTTGATCTTGTTTTCGAACTTCAAATTATAATTGTCTCTTTAGCTAACGTTTTGTTTTTCAGTTTACTGAGCAACTTGTTGTAAGTATTCATTTTGATAAGTAATAAAATAAATAATATGTCCACTTGATAATTTGGATAAAGCAGCGGAACTTGGAAAATATTCATAAATATCATCTTGTATCTTTTTCTATCTGTACGTTTGTTTTCCCCCTGTTGTGTGCATTATTATTATTATTATTATTATTCACGGCATATGATGACTGTAACATCATCTGTTTTTTTGTGTGTGATTCTCACCCTTTTCACTTTCTTCTGACTCTCATGTCATGCAAAATAAGGTTCTTTGTTTTTACATAATACTAATTTGTGTATTTATATATCGTCTATTGATAATATGCTCATTGTTTATTGGCTAACCTTTCCTATCTTTTTCATGTATTCAATTCTTATTGTATATTTTCAAATCTTACTGAATTAACGCGCTGAGGAAAATAAAGAAGTTGACTGGCTTTTTGTCTATTTCCCAGTCATAGTTGTTTCAACTTTTCTATTACGTTATTCAAGTGGATTTTGTTATCATTGTTAGTAGTAGTAGTTCGTTTACACAATTTTATAAATTATTTTCAGGATTTAAAGGCTAATTTCATAGTCTTTGAATGTACATGGCTTATGCTTTGTTATATATATATATATATATATATATATATATATGAAATGTGCATGTATTGCATTTTGAATAAAAGCTGGATTCATTACCTATTAATTTCTCTGATTTTCTTTTAAAGATATCGTTGAATAGTGTTCAGTCGGATTTATTATTATTAATATTATCAAAACACAAAATTAATACATTTTTGGCACTAAAAGATGCTCCATACAAGACCTCATAATATGTGCGAAGGATGGGATACCGCCCAGGTTGAATCAGGTGGTAGTCCTAAGGGGCTACCCCACCCCGAGCCTTTGACTTGAAGTCTGATTCACTAAGCAGTGGGCCTGCATTCCGATGGATGTCAGTGACCCAAACAGGTTAATACGCCATTCAGTCGTTTCGTATTCTGGAGCCCATGTACACCATAGGTTTGGAATCACGGTTTTTCACTTCCCCTAAGTAAACCAGCATATAAACTATTTGGATTTCAAGCGCCAAGCGTTCGTATTTGTCATTTTACTTTTGTGATGCACCCCTCCCCCGTCGAGTGAATGCACAGGTGGGTGAGAATTAACTGGTTGGCAGAGATTATGAACGCTTGGCCACATGAAAACATTTCGAGAGGAAGACTGGATTTTACCCATCACTCTCAGCCGTACCAGGTCGTTTATGGTTAAAGTTTGTATAAAAATCGTTTTTCTAAGGATATGAAGATAATATTATATTGGTGTATGGTGACCAACAGAAAACGTTGGCGGAGAACTGAACTTCATGCATTTATTCCCCTTGATGAATTTGAATAAAGCAAGAACAAAAGTGGTTTGTGCAGAATAATATGGTACCATCATTTATTTCGTAGGCTTCTCATCAGCTGCTTACAGCCTAAATAAATTATGAGGCTTGCGTACAGAAAAGTTTTAACATACTTGCAAATTTTTACATGTTGCCAGTTGACGAAAAGTTCCACAGTAAGTGAACAGTGCTCAGAAAATTGCGCTTATATAGTTTTTACACAGGCAGTTCAAGTTTAAACAAAATAGATGTATGCATACAATGGAGAACTGAACGCAATGGAGACATGTGGCTGAAGCCCAATGTTCCTCTAGGCACTAAAAGAAACAGCAGTGGAATCCAGGATACGCATTTCGTCGATTCAATCAATGAGAAATGCGAAATTAACTTAAACGTGTGGTTTGAAGATAAGTTGCAATATTACACTCAGGTAACTTTAGGTTTTCGGGTCAAATCAGCTTTATTTCTCTTTATCAGCGTTAGTCATGATAAACAGCGTTTTTTAAATCAATTAAATATGGTATTAATTATATGTTTAACAGTTGTACTTGCCATAAATAAGTATTAAGGGATTAAGCAGTGATGAATACCATTTACTTAGTTGTTACCTATCCTAATTGGATTCTAATACGATTAGACCAACTATTAGTGTTTTTTCATTCCTTTGTGTTCTGAGTGGAACATAGGACTTTAACCTTGAGCTCTACTCTGTAGTTTAAGTAGCGACTATGTGGGTTTTCACGCTGTCAGGTTGCTGGTCTCACTCCTCACCTTCTGTCTTTACCGTGTTTACCTATAGCTAATTGATGTTAGGGTGTTAGTGGGTGGCCGGAAGTTGAACCCGGATCACGTGTGTGGTTGGCGAGCATCCTACCATTGAGCCACAGACGCACATCACTGCTGTTACGACTTGTACATTCCTATACATTTTTGTCAAAAGCATTATTGTTTTGCACTCACTGTAGGTCCATACACAACAAGCTGTTATCTTCTGTACATAAGTTAGGGGAAACCATAGCCATAGGTTACGGATTGTGACATGTGGGGTGAGAGTATCGTTAATCAGTATTCGGCTAACTGACTAAGACTGTCGAATAGAGGAAGGTGAGAAAAATCCACTGAGAACTAAACTGCTGGGAATCTACTGCAAAATAATCTTATTAAAACTGCTTTGCATCGAACTGATCGATTTTGTTCCCGAATACTTCTGTTTCAATAGCTGCAATTTATGAGGAACTTGGTAATTAGTCTGGTGGAATATTTAATTTCCGAGATTTGCAACTACTGACTTTCAGTGGTTGATCATCATGGAAAATCTTTAGGTACAAGTGTGATAAATGTTAAGTTGAATGTGAAAGTTGCTTGTCAACTTTTTTAAAAATGGTTGGCTTTATTATCTGTCAGTATGACAGACAGGTAGATAAACACAGAGATATAAATTATGATACGCAGTAGTAACGCACTTGATACTGTAAATCCAATGGGGGAAATTTCCTTATAAACTTTGCCTAATCTTTTCACCGCGTAAAAGTAGTTATGTTGACTGACTTAGTTTCAACACAGAGGTGTAGAAGTTCAAATTGCCACACTCCACGTAGTAAAAAGCTAGACACAAAAATAGACTCAAAAGAAGTATACTGTGCAGAAATGGACTGCGAAAAGAATAGTGATGTAGAAAAAAAGAAGATTTAATGGATTTGGAGGATTACAAGAAGTGAATGCATGCACTCCCTTGAGAACAGTTTTGAGTCATATTGCGGTGGTGTGATACAGGCAATGTGTTCCAACGGAATATTATTCTCGTGTATTCCCACAGTTCAGTACTGTATTAGCAACAAAATACTATGTGCATTTAAACATTCTGTTTCATGTCGTTTTGTGTAAACCGAAATCACACGCTCACTGATTGGTTAAGCACTATAAACTGTATGGATATAAACAGCTGTTTCATCAATTGAAAATGTACCTCTGCTTCCGTGTCTTGCCTTCTATTGTTACAATATCACTAATAGTCTGCAGCCAATGGTTCTTAGTATCCTGAGGACCCCAGCCACGCAGTGTAGAACTGCCTGTGTGGCTGGCTCAAACCGACCGTCAAGGATTTCATGGATTGATGTCAGGTTTCTATTAGAACACCCCTATCCCTTTTGCCACCCAACCTTATTTCAGCTAATACTGCTCGACGAGCAAAGTGATAGCTTGATATAAGTAACACATATCGTATCTATGTCAGTCGATGTAACTTATCAACTCCATCGGTTGACTTCCCGTCTTCAGCTAGAACCCTACGGTTAATCTCAATTTCTCTCACATATTATACTGCTTAAACCGGGAGACAGAACATAAAAATCTGAAGGTAAAGTCAATCAGCCTTTTCATATCTTCCAAAGTTAAATGGCCGTGTCTCACAACCGTAAAGGAGAACAGAGTGAACTTCTGTAAAGAATTACTTTGAAAACACATTATTCATTTTCGCATAACACTTTCCAAAATACTTATTCAACCAAATGAAATTGGTTTGTATACATGAACAAATGGTGCCTATAAAAATATCCTATTTATTAAAATACTTGTACATTTTGGTTTTTAATATTTAGTAATTAGTAATGTAATAGGGCTTCATCTTTTCTAGGTGTATATACCGAGTATTTCATTCCCTCTTTTCTGTCAGTATTCTCTTTCAACAAGGAAAGTAGTTTTAGGTTGAAGTGCAATCTCAGTTTAGAAAACAAAGTGTTTCATAATTTTCACTGTTGATTCCTTCACATTCTTGTAGTAATGTGAGTAATCAACTCATTATTGTAGAGATGTGACTGACCTAAAGGTAGATTTTATCAAAAGTCGAATAGCAGTACATTGGAGAGAGTGGCAAACTTAGACGAAACTGCCTTTTTATTCTCACTGGTTTTAGTTTCTCTCTTACTGATAGTGGGTTTATGGCAAAATTTACATTGCAATAAATCAGAGTCATTTAATATATTGTGGTATACTAATTCACTTGAAAAGAAGTAGCTTTTTCAATCATTATGACATTTCTTTGACTAAATCACATCAAAGGATATTATTTATTCTGGATATCATTTAACAGTTTTTCCCTTCGACAGGTGATCGTTAAATTGGGTCTCGAGTTCGTCCACACTTATTAGCAAAGTATATTTACAAGTCACAGGAACTTTTGTTTTTTTGTCTCTGATTTGAAACTGTGTCACTGAATACTGATTTAAGAAATCGTAACACTTAGCTATTGAAGATTCACCATTCCTCACCAGGAGAACGGACTGATTGCCGATTCAAAAACCTTTGATAAGATTCTGTGCTATTCAACCTATTAAGTATTCTACAAACTAGATAGGTGGATTTCAGTTAACACGTGGAACTAGACAGTTTGATTAGTTACGGCACAGAGGTATTCAATTTGTAATCATTTACATCACAACTGATACATGGCATCACTGAAACTCAATCTCTCTGGCAGTATATTACGCCCAAAATCTTTTTTCAAGCACATGACCACTTATTGACCCTTAATTAGGAATTAATAAATCA